TTTTTTCCCCCTCTTCATTAAAAAATGTTTATATTTTTCTGGGTTAAAAGGACGTAATAAAAGAAGTAAGGGAACCACTGAGAAGAAATATCCGGTTTTTTATGCAGATGAGGCATCAGACCTAAATTCCAATTTTTTCTGGGTCAACTTGACATCGGCATACGATATGAATCCATGGGGTAGCTGTTCAGTCTTTGTTGTTCCCTAGCGTTTCATATGAACTTCGTGGCCTTCGCCTTTGAATCTATACCACAGTTCTCAAATAATTTAACCTACATCTTACAAAAGCTTCAGCCTACAGAGTGACACACCAGTCTCTTTGTTACCTGCTGTTAAACCACTTCTCAAATACCTTGGCTTAGAATTTATATCAAAAAATATGTCTTTGTACATATGAGAACTGGATTTCATTTGCTTTGTCAAAAGAATAACTTCCATATTTCACGGACCAGCGGGTACTCAGATTTATATGGTGTGCAGTTTGACGTGCATTTTAGCACGTTTGTGCATGTATGTAATACGTGCAAACTGACATATACTTGGGCTGCATTTAGTGCATTCACTGCCATTTGTTGCGTGATGTTTTTCTTCCTAGGCACGATGTGTTTTTCAGCTTCTGCTATTCGATATCTTATACTGAACATGCGGATTTACCTAAGAACCAAACTCGACACCTCCCAACACTGAATAGAATGTCTATTTTTAGTCTCCAACAATTCAAATAACCACACTGCACATCAATCTTCCACAGGTAACATTAGCTGGATATTTTTTCTTTAATTTATTCCATTTTATTCTCTTATATCTTTTTATTTCAAGGCCAAGTTCCACATTAAAACCCAGAATTCAAAAAGTTTGTCTAGGACAAAAATGTTGGTCATTTAATCGCCACTTCTTGTAATAAACTGCTTCTTCTTCTTAAAAAAACAACTCCATCTTCAAGCTGTGGGGTCATCTTCTTCACAAGCTCACCTTCTACGTGGATAATAAGAAATTAAAATATTGTACTGGGTCTTACATAGAAACAGAGATCATGACTGGACCTTATCACAAGGCCCTCTGCAGGTGAACTGATTTTGAGTTGGCACCGGTGTCATGCAGTGACATTCTGCACGTTCAAAATGTGATGGTCTCCATTCCAACATAAGACGCAGTACTAGATTTAATTTCTCATTATGTTAGTATGATACAACTGAGTGAATCAAAACTCCACTCTGATATCTATCTTCAACTGTAGCTGGCATGGTGGCCACCTGAGTCCTTTGTGTGTTATGTCATATCTTCATCTGAATGGTGTCCATAAAGTCTGGCATGTCTGAGCACTGGAACAACACGACAGGTATCTTCTCCATCCACTAACTCCAATGAAGCAAATCCCAAGACCACTTTTCTTTTTCAATTTCACTACAGACCAGTATTAGATGGCTGCCCATAAACTTGAAAGAACATGGTCAACTCTGTATGTATTTAAGTAATTTTGTAGAGTTCAATGATGACAGTAATTGTGGTGTCCTTCCTGTCCCCAAGTGGGCAGATCAGGATTTAAAGGCAACAAAAGTCTCTTCTGCAAAGGTTGCAATCATATTAAGTGTATGCCCATTATAAATATATCTCTGAAGAAACAGTAAACTTTTGGAGATGTCACTAATGGTTTAAGAAAGAGGTGTGTGTGTGTGCGCGTGTGTGTGTGTTTTTAAACTTGCCAGTCAGTCTGTTGTTACTATGCCAAAATAACTGAACTATACAAGAATGCCCTTTTTTCAGACAGGAGCACATTTGTTCATCACAGATGCAAATATTCACCTTTTCTTCTCCCATAAAGAGAAACATGCTGCTTTATATTCATTGCTCTTTTTTCTTTTCACTTAAATGATGTGTACATTCCTTTTCATACTGAGCTTACATGATGTCCCGCAATTTGAGAACTTAATCTTCATTTAATTTTTTTTTTTTTAATGTTTATATACATTTTATCAAACCCTGGCACAATCTGAAAGGAACCGGAAGACATTAATAGTCCTAACTGCAATAACATTTATCATTTTTCTTTTAGTTGTATATATAAAACCCCTTCCTGTTTTTT